AAATAAAAACCAACAAAATATTACTGGCCAACAATGTAGAGACACCCTAGAAACTACAGTACTCTAGTAAAACCACCTATCATCGCCCTATTTCAATTAAATACCTAACTTATAATTTAAGAAAGTGGACTCCTTTTATTTAAATGTGAAGTTTCACATGAAAAATGTTCATTGTGCAAAGTTCTAGTGACGCCTAAATACTATCCTGAATACTCCGAGTAACCATAAACAACCAGGATACTCATAGTACTAACATGTGTGTACTTTGTACCTCTAACACGTGTGTACTTTGTACCTCTAACACGTGTGTACTTTGTACCTCTAACACGTGTGTACTTGTACCTCTAACATGTATTTGTACCTATCTTGTGGTAAAGTTCAGGCAGGTGCAGCTCCACTTTGTCTCTCTGGAAGTAATGATACTCGGACTGTTCACACACCGGAGGAACCAGGTTAAACTGCCGGGCCACAGAGTACGCCTCCTGACATGAGACAGGTGAGACAGGTGAGACAGGTGAGACAGAGAGACAGAGAACATTTGTACAATAAAATAAAACTGTACAACATGTCTATGATACCTTTAAAAGTACACTGCAGTCTTTTTGCTATCAGCCTGTCGTTGTTTTTCTCAGGCTGCGACCTTCACAGTTTGTAAGAACTCACCCACCCGGCCAGTCAGGCAGTGCTGCTAATGGGCCGTAGGGGAAGTTAGGATGAAGGAATTAATTAGACTTCTGAACGAGAGGCAAAGGAGCCTTTTAGGAATCTCACATAATGTTGATAGCACCTGGACCCAGGCTGGATAAGAGCAAAGATCATATTCACAAACATAGGAGGCCTTAGTAAGAAGCTCTGAAGGTCATCAGCACGTGTTGATGTTACCCAGCTGTGGGATTGTTTTATGATTGTATTTGTATTTATTTATTATTTACTGTAGTCAGTGTTTCATTAAAGATTATAACTGAAGGAAGTTTAAGTCACATCCAACACTATAAAGTGTGCGAGTGAGGGCCCGTTAGGCCCCTGGCCCCGTCTGAAGGTCTCTCACAGTTTTTAATTACACACACTTGTAACAACGCTACTGTGATTCTACTTAGGTTCTATTCTGTTTCTACTCTTTTTTTCTACAGTTTGCTGTGTTTCTGCAGAGGTTTTACTGATGTTCTATTCTGTTTCTACTCTCTTTCTACTGTGTTTCTGCAGAGGGTCTGCTGATGTTCTATTCTGTTTCTACTCTTTTTTTCTACTGTTTGCTGTGTTTCTGCAGAGGTTTTACTGATGTTCTATTCTGTTTCTACTCTCTTTCTACTGTGTTTCTGCAGAGGGTCTGCTGATGTTCTATTCTGTTTCTACTCTCTTTCTACTGTGTTTCTGTAGAGGGTCTGCTGTGTTTCTGCAGAGGTTCTACTGATGTTCTATTCTGTTTCTACTCTTTTTCTACTGTGTTTCTGCAGAGGGTCTGCTGTGTTTCTGCCCAGGTTCTACTGATGTTCTATTCTGTTTCTACTCTCTTTCTACTGTGTTTCTGCCGAGGTTCTACTGATGTTCTATTCTGTTTCTACTCTCTTTCTACTGTGTTTCTGCAGAGGGTCTGCTGTGTTTCTGCCGAGGTTCTACTGATGTTCTATTCTGTTTCTACTCTTTTTCTACTGTGTTTCTGCAGAGGTTCTACTTTGTTTCTACTGTGTTTCTGCAGAGGGTCTACTGATGTTCTATTCTGTTTCTACTGTGTTTCTGCAGAGGTTCTACTTTGTTTCTACTGTGTTTCTGCAGAGGGTCTTCTGTGTTTCTGCAGAGGTTCTGCTGATGTTCTACTGTGTTTCTGCAGAGGTTCTGCTCATGTTCTACTGTGTTTCTGCTGATGTTCTATTCTGTTTCTACTCTTTTACTACAGTGTTTCTGCAGAGGTTCTACTCTGTCTCTACTGTATTTCTACTATTTTTCCGCCGAGGTTCTACTGTATTTTTAATCTCTTTCTACTGTGTTTCTGCAGAGGTTCTACTAATGTTCTACTCTGTTTCTACTGTGTTTCTACTGTTTTTCTGCTGAGGTTCTACTGTATTTTTAATCTCTTTCTACTGTGTTTCTGCAGAGGTTCTACTGATGTTCTACTCTGTTTCTACTGTGTTTCTGCAGAGGTTCTACTGATGTTCTACTCTGTTTCTACTGTGTTTCTGCCGATGTTCTACTGAAGTTCTGCTGTGGTTGTGTGTTCTGTCCTACCATGATCTCCACGGCGTTCCAGCGTGACGTTCCCCAGTACATGGCGAGGCCCTGATCGATCACAAAGGTCATCGCACGAACGACTTCTGTAAACACAAACAGGAAAAACGCTCACTGCTCACTTTAAAGTGAGCTCACCATTTTGTAACGATGCCTGAATTTTTAAATCTATATATTTGACTCAAAGAAATCCCAATGCATTGTGAAAATTAGTTTACAGACGGTGGTCACTGACCAAGACGTATGTACCATCATGCATTGTGCTTAAATTGTGTGACAGCAAAGGTGTTAATGACAGCGCCGTGTCTCTCCTTAGACAGGGAGGAGGACTGAGACACATTTTGAATTATAAAACTTTATTAAACCACGCTGGAAAAGTTGTTTCTTTACATGTTAATGAAAAGAACAAAAACAAACTCCTGCAAGTTTGTTCCACTGAGTCAGCGCCTGTAATTTACTTAATTTAATCTTAGAAATATCACATAATAATATTAGTCTGTCAAGTACAAGAGAACTTTTAGAGGATCGCTGAAGGGCTGCTAGGTTGAGATGATCGTTGTTTGCTATGTGTGCGTGTGTCTGACCCTCCATCGGTGCGTTGATGTCACTCCTGTTGGCGAAGACGATGTCCACGTAATCCAGCTGTAACCTGGAGAGAGATCCACGCAGACCTACAACACACACAAATCCTCTATTTCAGATAGCTGTGGTATTTTCAGCCCTCAAGGACAAAATTCAGGACAAACAGCAGCTGTCAATCTCCACTGTTTGTGCTGTACCTCGTTGGCTATTTGGTCCTTACGGGCCTCCGTAGCTTTAAACTACCCTTCACTATATTTGAAATGTCTTACAAGCAGAACATTAAGACAGTGTTGTACTCTGAGAACAAGAAAGCTTGTACGGCTGCCTTAATGCTCCGATGTATTTGATTGACAGATGACATATTAGTTTAAATGTGGCCCATATCAGACTGAAGTGTTCACGGCCTGAAAGTGACACGACGTCACACGCTGTTGTGCAGAAGTAAACAAGGCGCCACAACCTCTGGTTAGCTCCTACTTGGTAACCTTCCCGTATTTCATCGCCCTCTCCTGGTTTCCTGACGGGGAAAGTCGCATTAAACCCCCATCTGAGTGACCAGGCTGAAGTCACAGTTCAAACAATCTGACCTGGATCTGATTTGGACCACATGTGAAAGGGGCCTCAGATCCGAACTGGAAACACTTTGGCTGGAGTCTGAACGCAGACTAAGAAGAGACACCACATGGCTACAGAGACGTGCTAAATGATGTCAGAGATGCAAAACAACTAGAAAGAGACCGTCTGCAGTCTGCCTGCTGGCTGTGGTTGTTGTTTTCATTGTGTTCAGTGAAGTTATAAATTGAATCCTTCAGCTGAAGTTAAATCATCAGGTGTGTCTGACTTAATGTTATGCACGCTGGACTTATGAAAGGTCTGAGTCTGCCGGCCGCAGTTGATTTTCTCGAAGTGGGAACAAACTTTTGCCTGATCAGTCCTTGTTCTGAGCTCACGCACTCTACAGGAGGCTGAATGTGCCCGACGTGTGTTTTATATCCCTGCAGCTGCATGCAGCTCACGTTAGACTATCAAGTCGGCCGCAGTCATCTCAAACCTGACGCCCCAGCTGAGATGGGAATCTGTGTAACAGATGCATCACTCTGCACATGAACGAGTGATTCGTTTCCTCCCAACGTTCCTCGTTACCGCTCCATCTGACAGCTCCTGCGCCTGCGAGGAACTCTCTGTGTTTATTGTGAAAAACGGCTGACAGGAATAAACCGCTGTTCTTTCTGTTGTTTCAGGCTAAATATAGTTGGCTGTGTTTTTGTTGTGTTTCTGAGCTGACAGCTCCTGACAGTCATCAGGACGCCTGGTCGACCTTGCGGAGGACGAACAGAGAGTGTGAAAGATAATCACACTTAACACCAGACGGAGTCACCGTGAAGACCAATTATACCGGAACGAGCACGTGGTTCTGTTTATACAGAGCAGCATCATGCTAACATGCTAACTCTCAGCGCCGTGGGCATAACAGAGTAAATGTCAGACATTATACTGTTGTTATGCTGCCTCGTTGTGATCGGAGCAAATAAGACGAATCTGCATTTCAGTATGTTCATATGTGTTCATTTAAAATTGATATCTGCTCTGTATATAACACTTTGGGATGTGTGTCTTTGAACGAGCTGCTGTGTGTTGAGCTTACAGGGTTTCCAGCAGCCTGTGGCGTTCAGGTAAGCGCTCGCTCTCTACGCCTTTAAAGAGAAAATAATTAACCGTGAGGACACCCAGGACAAAGAGCAGCGAACAGGGAGGGGGAGAAGCCGTGTTTGGTTAGATATGATTTGTTTTAGTTTAGTTAGTTTGCCTCTTTTATTGCAGATATTAGCCTGCTCGTCCACAGAGACGACCATGTGAGCCTACAGTCCTTTGTCAGTTTGCTGCTCTGCTGAGCGTGTTATATAAGAGCGGGACAGTTTCCTGTTCAATTGTATTAATCTGTCACTTAAATCCACGGCACCATCACAACATTTTTTAATTATGTAACAACAGACGACTTGTCATGGATCTGATTCTGTATGTCAGATAAGTGGAGTGAAAAGTGCATTTCCCTCTGAGAGGTGGTGAAAAGGGAAACACTCAAGTAAAGTACAACTACCTAAAATGTGTACTTAAATACAGCACGTCAGTAAAAGTACACGTTTGCAGAGGGTGCAGATGTTGTTGTATCAGGATCAGAGACTCTTTGTGGGTTAAATTTAGCGTTAGCATTTCACAGAGTGATTTAAGTCAACAGAGCTGTTAGCAGCTTTCAGCAGCGCCGATGATTGACGCTGCACGCTGATCTGTGTGTGTGTGTGTGTGTGTGCGTGAAACTCCTAATCCAGTCTCGTGTGACTGAGCCTCTTAAAGCCTGGACGACCTCCGCCAACTGACAGAGGACACGGACGACTCTGAGGGTGTTACAGAGAGAGTGTGAGTGATCAGTCTCCGGATCTAATCAGACTACGCTCGCTCAGAGGAGGATCTGGATTCCTGTGTTTATATATTTACATCAATCTAGCAAATAAAGTGTCAGAGTGGAATTAGTCATCAGGCTCTAATAACAAATGAGATATTTAAAACACCAACGTGGCTTTAAGGTTGTCAGCCGTCCCAATATTTACACAGATGAATGTTCATTACCGTCTCTCTGACTGTAAATAACAACACGTTCGAGTATTCTTTTACTGGACAAACATGCAGCGTTCGTTCAGATGCTTCGTTCGTTCGTCAGCACTACACCTGGCCTGATTTCAACAGCGTTATGGCACAAAAAACATTTTACCAGAAGCAGCCTGAGCGTGAGGGCAGGCTCTGAGGAGAGCATTACAATATCTAAACGTGAAATCAATAAGTCATGCTCTCACATTGAAAGAGCACACTCTAATTTAACCCTGAGTTTTGTCTGCAGGTCTTCCTCTCAGCGTCAGATCAGATGGCCGAGGGTTAAACAGTCAGATGATAACTCGTGCTATTAAAGCTTAATTACTGTGAAAGTGACCTGCCTCCCTGACAGAGGACAAATGTGTCCCTCAGAACTTATTCATAGTCAGTTTCTGATCAACACAACAAAAGAACGACCATGTTAAAAATATAAAAACTGAAGAAGGCTACGACTCCCCAGACCTGGTCTCATTCCCAGGTCATCATAAACCAGCATTTTGAAACGCCTTTTCAACACGTTGCTAATGTTGTGAAACGGTGAAGTTTGTTCAGGTTTTGACACCACTTGGTTTGGGAAAAGATAAAATAAGCACGCTGTGTAGAGTAAGATCTGTGATGTCTCAAACATAATAACTTTAAATAAATAAGCTGTTGACTTCAGGTTTCACACAGGACATGGACTACAGTTAAAGTGTTTGTCCACCACGACCACCTCCCTGCGCACGCTTTCTCACACTTTATACGACGCCACTTTCCGCTTTCCAGCCCGTTCTACTCCCAGAGCGTCAAATCACTACACTCTGGGAAGCCCATTCACTGTTCAACGCTAAAAGCACTTTAAATAACCGAAAAGTCTGAGTAAGGAGATGGTGAAAAACTGAACCTTCATAGGTGACCGGAGTATATGTAAAGATAGTTGACGACCTGGGAAAGAGAGTGGACTGGACTCCCAGGGTGCTTTTCATTAACAACGGAGACGTTTTATAGAGGATTAATCACATCCTCCATACAACTCTATGGGGAAAAGCCCGTAACGCCGAAAAGGGCGGTTATCTCGCCCCTCCTGCTAGAAATCCAGTCGTCTGCTTTTAACAGCCAAAGGGGGTCGTGAGGGTCGATTTGACTTCGACTGCACGGGTGGTAGTAGTGACGCATCTTTCAGCGATTTTTATAAGATTTTACTGCTGATTCTATTCATGTAGTTTTTCTGTCCCGATGACCAGTGAAAGTGCAGTTCTGGCTCTCTCACCATTCATTCAGATAGGAGTCCGGTCTTGTTAGTCGTGTTGCCAAGATGGCTGCCGAGTGGTATGACTAGCCCATAAGGACTTTGCTAACAAACATCCAATCATACCCCTCATGGTTAGCTAGACTCTCTCTGGCTACTCACACAATCCGATTCCCCCTCGCCTCAACACTGACAGCAAACGATATTGTTACTGAAACTATTAGCTAACAATGTCTTACAACACAGAAGTCTCGTGTGGTAAGTCGCTCCACAGTGCGTTACTGTCCGACGCCAACGGGTCTGAGAGAACGAGTTGTTTCACACAACTTCGCTGTGAGCAGGAAATCTGTATTTTGTGTATTTGTAAAATAAAAACTATTAATAAAACTCGTCGCATCAAAAACCAACACATTCTCTCTTCAGTCTCGTAACATCCCGACGTTTGGTCAAAGCCCTTCGGCGTTGATTTTTAACGCCCTGGGTACCCCTTTAGCAGAATTTTTAGACGTTTAAGGCTCCACGGTCAAGTTAGCAGCAATAAATATGCGACATGCGGTTAGACTTTCAAAATAAAATGCTAGCGTTTCAAAACATCACCATTTAGAAACGGCGCATTATTAAAGTCGTCAAACGTCGCAGTTTGGTTGGGTTTTGGCAACAAAACTACTTGGTTAAGGTTAGGAAAAGATCATGGTTTGGATTAAAATAACTACATAGGTCAGTTAACATTGACGTTAACTTATGTCATTAAATAAAAATATTTAATTTTGTTTGACACGCCGGTCTCCTGGTTCAGAGTTCTGGTCCTCCATCCACCCCGACCACTGGAGGAGTGAGAACAGGTTATAAGAAACGCGACGTGAGTGAGGCCTTTTCTTTAAACTTGAATGTTGTTACCTTCGATGATGTGTTTCCGTGACAACCCTCGCTCTGTCTCCGCCCTGTGGACACACAAACACGTTAACACACACGCACACATGTGCTTCTGTTATATTTATATGAAAAGACTTAAAGCCTGCTGATCGGTGTGGACGCAGCACTCACTGTCCTCCCCAGTAGATCTTAGTGGTCACCACGTAGCTGGACCTCCTGGTCGAGAGAGAGAGAGAGAGAGAGTTAATGCAGCATTATTGTGGCGGCGTCACCATCAGTTACTGAGAGGGATGGAGGAGGCGTGATGGAGAGACGATTAAAAAGAGGAATGGACGTGAGGAAGGAGACGAGAGAGACTGATGGAGGGAGAAACTGCTGAGTCACATCTTCAAGACAAAACACTTCCTTATTATTATCAGATAGTGTTTGCTGGGTCACCGCTCTGCTGTGTGTCTCTACAGTCTGAGAAAGCTGCCTCTCTCTGTTAAAACCTAACTTAACATGATGTGTTGTTTCCTTTATTTATCGCTTTCTGTATCGACAAACTGCGCCGGGTTAGTCGCAAAAAACAGTATGTTGATAGATGTGGAGGCCTCGTCCTCCCCAACATCTAGCTACCTAACTTTTAATTTAAGATTTCCTTCAGAATGGGGTTACAGTACGGGAAAATACTGAACAAGAAGCTGGTAATGTGTTGAATTTATAGATTTTTAGCAGCAAACTGCTTAGAAACCCTAATCTATGTATATAAATACTGTGTGGAGAAAGAGAAACAGCTGTTTACCTCCATCCTTTCTTCTTCAGGATGTTTCCCAGAGTCGTCTCTGCCCTGACAGACGGACAGAGACGTTAGTCCTCCAGATCTTGACAACTGAATATAACACATTTTAACTGAAAGTACACGTCTGTTTTCAGCTTTAGCTTCATTTAAATGTATTTTTTAACGGTTTGTCTCAGCAGGGACCAATACATCTTACACAGATCAACTGAAAACAGCAATAATATGTCTGTAACATTGTGTTTTTAACAGTTCACAACACCCGTCCCTAGAAGGGCTTTATGGAGATAAAACACTAAAACGTGTACAAGTAGAGTCAGTTACAGCACAAGAGAAGATAAAAGGAGGTAAAATTAGTATCTCAAGATGCAGTAACACACAAGTAAAGGCTCGTGCAGACTACACGACCTCCAGCGTGGCCGATGGCCGTGCTGTTCACACTACATGACTGATTACAGGGGGTCACACACTACGCGAGCTGACAACGACTCTGTCATCCGACACTGGTCCCCAAACCCCGTTTTGCGGTGAAAAAGCAGCCGCCTGCTCTCATTGGCTGGATGTGGATGTCGAGTCGGCCGACTCCTCCAGATATTTGGCGTGTCAGATATCTGGCAGACGTCGGCGATGTGTCAGAAATGTGTCGGGGAGCCGTTTTGATGCGTCGTTGAGTAGTTCACACATAACGACTGCCGACCGCCGATCAACCCCTGATTTATTCCCGATCACAGCCTGACGGTCGCCGAGCGGCAAATCGTGTAACGTGAACTGGGCTTAACAGGAGACAGAGGACTAGACGTGAGGACAAGTTTTAGTGCTAAACCAACCAGGACTTCACAAGTTTGCAGCACTTTTTAAGTGTGTAGGTAGCGAGGTCCAGGACTTTGCTCCTTTCACTGAAAAGGTCGTCTGAGTAAAAGAAATTTTCCAAAATGAAACTTTCCAGCTGCCACTTGAAGCAGCTCTGGTGGATCTGCTGCTGCTCTGTAGCGTCTTGATGTATTTACAGAAAGGCTTTAGGAGCAGGGCACAACAGACGTGATCTCAGGACCTTTCATAGAGCAGATCTAGACCCAACTCTTTCTAACTGTTACAGACCAGACCCTGGTTTCCAGTGGTCCTGAACGGTGGGCTAAAAATCAACCAGCGAGCCCAGTGAAGATCAGACAGACAGTTTGTACTGTACCTCCCTGAGGCGTAAACCTCTGCTGTGTCGAACAAGTTCACTCCGCTGTCGTACGCCACCGACATCACACTCTCCGCCATCTACGCACAGAGGCAGTAACCCACATTAATGTGTGCAGAAACCTCTAGTAGTGGTTATGTAATTGTTTGTTCATGCGTTCAGCACACACACACACACACACACTAACTGTACCTCATCGGAGATCTGAGAGCCGAATGTCACCCATGTTCCTGTGAGAAGAGAAAGAGCATCACTGACTGGCTGTGTGGGATATACGGAAGTGTGCGTTACTGTGTGTGTTGCAGCGCTCACCCAGCCCTAAGCAGGACACTCTCAGGCCAGATTTCCCAAGATTCCTGCAGAACAATCAAATCAATCAGTTAATCAGTGAATCAATGAAGTTAGTTTGATGTCCCAAAATCCACAAACCCTGCGGCGCTTTGAGGGCCCTCAAACCACGACACTGTTTGATCTGATAAAACCTTTATTTATAAAGACAAATAAAATAAAGCCTCATACAATAGAACAGAAAGTGAATAGAAAATGGCACAAAGACGTCTCAGTCTGAGCTTTATATTTAAGAGAAACAATATTAAAAAGAAAGATCTTGTGGCCCCGCTGTACACGCATACCAGTCATCCGTCAACCAATCACACATCGGCAGCGAGCGATTGGACCAGTGTCTAATGAAACCTCTGCCTTTAATTAACACACATATTCATCAAGACCTTTCACTCAATAATCTGCAACGGTCAAAGGTCAGACAGCCAAGACCGATCGCACACACAAACATCAACATCATCAACTACAAAAGCAGTCTTCTCTCCAACAACTGAACTGGCATTTCCTCATACTGTACCACACGTGTGTGAATGCACGTGTTTGTTTTGCGTGTGTGTCTGACAGAAAGTACAAACACCAAAGTGAAAGTCGGCAGAAAACAGGATGAAAAACAATGAAAAAGCAGCATCAGGCCGTCTGATGGGCTAAAAATACCAGCAGCTGATGATTCGACTGTATTTTAGCGGACAGATAAAAGTTCATCCTAACATCAGCTGGAAACATGAAAACATCTTTCAGTCTGTTTTGGTTCCTCCGTCCACACTAAACCAACAAAGACTGAGTCGACTGGAAAACATCATCACACACTGACAGACACACCAGAACATGTATCCTCATCTGAGTCCAGGTTCTCCGTTTACAGGTCCGAGTCCACGTCGGCGGTAATCTTGTCAAAACCAAGTCACTGATGTTGACGCTAGAACCCAAGTCACAATTATTCATGTCCAAGTCCCAGTTGTCAATATTCAGGACAGAGTCCGAGTCTTTTCTATTTAGGTCTGAGCCCAAGTACAAATCTTCAGTATTTACATCCAAGTCCAAGTTAGTCCGAGTCTCAGGTCAGTGATGATTAACGTCGTTAACATTTATGTCACAGTCCAAACTGAAGTCCATTACATTCCAAGTCCAAGATATCACTAAAAGAGTCCTAGTCATAAATTTTTCTGGTCATATTTGAAGTCCAAGTCATGGATGTTGATGCCAAAGTGCGAGTCATAATTGTTCGTGTCCAAGTCCAAGTTATTGATATCCTTGTCTGGGCACAAGTTAAATTCTGAGATGTTAATGTCCGAGTCTCAGGTCAGTGATGATTAAGTCGTAGATGTTAACATTCCCAGTCCAAGTCCAAGTCATCAGTATTTAATCCATGTAGATTTTGAGTCATCAGGGTTACTGAGTCCTGAGTCTCTAACAGTCTCAGACTGGATCAAAATCTGAGTTCTGACATCTAAAAATCTATTTATGAAACGCACGTTGTGAGTCCAAGTCCTCGATATTCATAAACGAGTCCGACCAAGTCATTGATAGACCTGTCAAATTCTAATTTCAAGATATCAGTATTTATGCGAGAGTCCTATACATTCATTTTTCTATCTATGAAACCCACATTGTGGACAGTCATGTTCCAGTCCAGGTCCTTGATATTCACATCCGAGTCTGACCAAGTCATTGATAGTCATGTCGAATTCCAAGTCCAAGATATCAGTATTTATAAGAGAGTCCTATACATACATTTTTCTTGTCATCGTTCAAGTCCAAGTCATGGAAGTTAATGCCAGAGTCCGAGTCATATTCTTAGATGTTCATGTCCGAGTCTCAAGTCAGTTATGATTCAGTCTAAGATGTTAACATTTATGTCACAGTCCAAACTGAAGTCCTTGATATTCATGTCCCAGTCCAAGTCCAAGTCATCAAAATTTAATCCATGTACATTTTGAGTCCCGAGTCTCTAACAGTGTCAGACTGGATCAGTATATGAGTTTTATGAAACCCACGTCGTGGACATTCATGTTCGAGTCCAAGTCCTTGATATTCATGTCCCAGTCCAACCAAGTCATTGTAGTCGAATTCCAAGTCTAAGATATCAGTATTCATACAAGAGTCCTATACATACATTTTTCTTGTCATCGTTCAAGTCCAGGTCATGGATGTTGACGCCAGAGTCCGAGTTAAAGTCCAAATTATTGATATTCTTGTCTGGGTACAAGTCATAATCCTAGATGTTCATGTCCGAGTCTCAGGTCAGTGATGATTGAGTCCGAGTCGTCAACATTTACAGTATGTCCCAGTCCAAACTGAAGTCCTTGATATTTAGATCCAAGTCCAAGATCAAGTCATAAATATTTAATCCAGGTCAATATTCAGTCATCATGTGTGGAACCAGGTCATCAATATCACCGAGTCTCTTACAGACTGAGTATCAATATCTGAGTTCAGACCATGAATATTTAACCTGAGTCATCAATATTCAAACTGTCTCAGGTTAAACAGACACACCAACCATCAATGTAAAATCTATACCCGAGAGCTGATCGATGGCTCTGAGCCGTCAGATGTGGCAGCGTTCCACACGGTTTCCCTGCTCGCTCACAAACAATGTGACCAGGTGCAACGGAAAATACACACACACACACACACACACACACACACACACACACACATATACTGTAACAAACATGAAACACGACCCTGAATCAACTCACTGCACCTGTCTGGTCATGTGACCGTCTCACTGTGTCAGTCTCACGCTCACCTGTACTTCATGTTGCTATGACGACCGAGGGCCTCCTTCATGTGGGCGTGGCCTAAGAGGGTGTGCCTGTTCGCCGGCTCCGCCCTGACCTTTGACTGACAGGGGGGGGCATTGCTGGTGTTCAACGCCACACGCCGCTCCTTCAGCTGGTGCTCGCTGACCCCACCTCCACCTCCGCCGCCCCCACCCACGTTACACGCTATGGACACCTGCATGCTGGTTACTATGGTAACAACCTTTCTATATATATATATGTGTATATATATATAATGAACTTTAAAGTTTCAAAACATAATGTGGAAACCGCCGCTGCCGCCAAGGTCGCCGGTCACTATGGTGACGATGGTAAGAATTCATGAGTGAGACGTTAACTTCCGAGTCTCACCATGTTGGAATCAATCAACCAATCAGAGTCACACTATAGGACACACAGAAACACACACACACACACACACTACAACTTTCTGTTGGTCTATCCGGTGGAAAGCATCCCGCCGTCTGCCCGACACACAGTCCCACAGCTGGAGGATGATGATGTGGAGGTGGTGGAGATGATGAAGAGCGTCCGTCTGTCCACAGCAGAAAAGAAAAGGACAACAAACAGATGGAGGGGAAGCGACAGAGAGGAGGGAAAGAAGTGAATCTCCAAAAGAAAAGCGAGCGTCCGACCTCGGGACTGTACTGCTGAAAGAAAGAGAGAGGGAGGGAGAGAGAGAGAGAGAGGGAGAGAGAGAGAGAGAGGGAGGGTCTGTCTCGGTCGGCTGCACACTGGGCGAGCAAGCATTAGACAGACAGGGAGAGAGAGAGAGCAGCAGCAGCACTGTCACTGTGCAGGAAACCTTGTCCTCAGTGCTGCTGTAGGAAACCTGCTAATGTTACAGCTGTGTTTAATCACTGTGTATTTACAGAAGGGGTTACTGTCTGCCAGGCTCAGTCGAGGGCAAGAAAGTGCCCATATATTCCATGTTCTATGGTAGCCACAAAGGTCCAAAACACTGGACAGGTGTGTGTAGAGACGAACAGGTCACTTAAAGTACCAGTCTGCGGTTATTCTATATTTTTATAAGAGGAAACAAAGTCTCCTGGCACATGGTGCTATAATAAAACACAGCAGTATATATCATGTACCAGTAACTCCCCCGAGTGTACTCTAGATTAATGTGTGAGGGGCCCCGAGGGAAACATTTGTTGGGCTCTTGATGGCCCCCACCATGTGTGTCCTTTGAGCTCCAATTAGGTCCGGTTCAACCAGTCCTTTATATTATATATAACATGCAATGCAGGAGCACAATATAAACTCAAATAAGAAAGCAGGGGTTATTAGGGCCCCTCAGGGTCCAGGGCCCCGGGGCAGTTACACACTTAGTCAGGTTTTCAAAGTACTGAAATGAGCAAAGGTTTATTATTGTTTATGAAATTTGTAAGAAGTCTGTTAGTCCTTTTCTGAAACGTCTTTATATTGACCACGTCTCATCTCCAGTAAGGCTCCCGTCTCCACATCTCCTGGTCTCCAGTAAGGGTCCTGGTCTCCACATCTCCTGGTCTCCAGTAAGGGTCCCGTCTCCACATCTCCTGGTCTCCAGTAAGGGTCTTGGTCTCCACATCTCCTGTTCTCCAGTAAGGGTCCCCGTCACCACATCTCCTGGTCTCCAGTAAGGGTCCCCGTCACCACATCTCCTGTTCTCCAGTAAGGGTCCCCGTCACCACATCTCCTGGTCTCCAGTAAGGCTCCCGTCTCCACATCTCCTGTTCTCCAGTAAGGGTCCTGGTCTCCACATCTCCTGTTCTCCAGTAAGGGTCCCCGTCACCACATCTCCTGGTCTCCAGTAAGGCTCCCGTCTCCACATCTCCTGGTCTCCAGTAAGGGTCCCCGTCACCACATCTCCTGGTCTCCAGTAAGGGTCCTGGTCACCACATCTCCTGGTCTCCAGTAAGGGTCCCCGTCACCACATCTCCTGTTCTCCAGTAAGGGTCCCCGTCACCACATCTCCTGTTCTCCAGTAAGGGTCCCCGTCACCACATCTCCTGTTCTCCAGTAAGGGTCCCCGTCACCACATCTCCTGGTCTCCAGTAAGGCTCCCGTCTCCACATCTCCTGGTCTCCAGTAAGGGTCCTGGTCTCCACATCTCCTGGTCTCCAGTAAGGGTCCTGGTCTCCACATCTCCTGGTCTCCAGTAAATGTCCTGGTCTCCACATCTCCTGTTCTCCAGTAAATGTCCTGGTCTCCACATCTTCTGGTCTCCAGTAAATGTCCTGGTCTCCACATCTCCTGGTCTCCAGTAAATGTCCTGGTCTCCACATCTTCTGGTCTCCAGTAAATGTCCTGGTCTCCATATTACTGGTCTTAAAAATGCTTTGCTGGTTTACTGTCAGATAAACTAAGACCAGCAGCACAGTGTCACATCTGAGAGTCTGAAGCTATTAAAGGTTTCAGGTTTCAGAAACGAAACAGTCGACATTTTGAAAACTGTATCACTGAACTTGAGTTCAACGAGCATCAGAAGAAGTTTTTTTGGCCACCAGTACAGAAATACAGATGTTGCCACAGCTTTTTAAAACACAACAGAAACTCTGCTGTGATTGGTGCACTGCAGCTTGTGGGACTTGTATGTACTTGTGGTCGGTTGTAGTCTTGACTCTGACACTCGTGTGCTCTGGATTATGAGCAGGCTGCAGCACACAGAGACCAACGTGTCGCACAATCAGCACTACGTTGTTTGTTTCATTAAATCACACCCGTTTGCAGTTATGTAATCGCACAGGACGACATCTGGATTAATTGTGCAGCACTAATTTAGATAACTGACTAAACGTTTTCACCCTGTTTGTCAGTTGAATATTTCACTAAGCATCCTGTTTTAATTTGTAAAGCAGTGTTTCACTTTGAGGAAATAAAACGTCATGTTGATGTTTGTTTCTCTTCTTGTGTCGGATTAATTTGTTGTGTTGCAGCTTCCTGCAGATCATTTGACGCTGAAGCAGAGTTTCAGACCCTCCCCCACTCCTCCCCCACTCCTCCCCCACTCCTCCTCCTCCTCCTCTTCTTCTCTCCATCACACTCTCGTACCACACAACTGGACACAGTGTGAGGCCCGAGGCTGGAGGTCTGCTGTCACTAATGTGGACCACAGCAGCAGACTCCTCTGATGCGTCTCAAACCGTTTGTTCTATTTCAACAACACTTTTTACCCACTGAAGTCTGAGTTTATGCAGAAAATAAGATTAAATCACCTTTAAATTCTGCTTCTCTCTCATCTTATTTTAGCCTCCTCAGCATCGTTTTATCTGACACCTGATGTTTTTTTTTAATTGTCTGACCCACTTTGTGAAACTGTGGATCTCTCCTGTTTAAATAAAGGTTAAATTAGAAAAAACATAATTATATTTGTCACTATGTTCCCTGTTAAGATTATCTTTAATAGTAAAAACCAGCAGTGTAGAACTTGATCAATATTTCTCTTTGTGCTGAGATGAAGATTGAAAATTGAACATCTGCTCGGTGAAACGGTGAAAGAGTGATCGTCAAGCCGTCCCCACAGACAGCTGATCTGTCTTCTGTGTCCGCTCCCCGGGGACCAATCAGAGCTAAGACGTCATTATGACATCACAGATACTGTTGACAGTACCAGCAGTAATGAAATGACAGGAGTGACCGAGGACAGCTGGAACATCTTTAACATTTCTGTCTGTATCTCAGAGCTTTTTTAAGCTGGTGGGTTCAAACTGTGATACAAACTAGTCTCAAACTCAAGGAGGAGAACGTGGCAGTCTGGGTTAGTAACAAACACGGGGTGAACTGTAACACTGTGTAATAAAGAAGAAAGATTTTATTCAAGGTTTTTATTTTTTACATAACTAATCATATTAGTGAACCAAATGTGCTGAATATCATCATGGGGTGACTGAGTGTGTTTGTTGTTACAGCTAACCTGAGTTTAAATACAAAGCAGCAGAAGCTAGAACAAAAATTTAATTTAGAAAAAATACTCTACCTCAAAATTAATTTTTACCTTCTACCACAGGATGCTACTGCCCCAGTCCCCGGTCTCCCCTGTTGTACAATCATGTGTGTGTACTGCATGTATTACTACTATAGCTGCAGGTATTAGTATTAGTATTAGTATTAGTATTAGTACTGTGGAAATATTTTGTGTTTCTCCTCCTCTCTTTGAGCTGGACCATCAGCCGTCCTGGGACCTCTCTCTCCTCTCGCTACCCCTCTTCTCACCCCTCTTGTCCCTCCTCCTCTCTCTCCTACCTCCCTTCCTCTCTTTGAGCTGGACCAGCTGTCCTGGGCCCTCCTCACCTCCCTCCCTCGTCTTGTGTTTGTGAGTCCTGTCCTCTTTCAGGTCTCTGTGGTGGAGAGGAGGAGGTCTTGCTCACATCCTGCTAATAATACTGTGTTTATAGGTATCAGTACTGCTTCAGGAAGTACTAGTATGTGTAGATACACCTGCTGTGTTTAAATGTTTTTGAAATGATGATGATTCAGCTCTAGATGATGAAGACGTACACACTACACAACTATACACACACACACACACACACACACACAGAAGCATGACTCAGCAGCATCAGGAGCCAATCAGAATCACCCGATATGAGACTCAGGACACCAGTCTGACCAGTATATCTCTGCTCCAGTTTAACCAGTGTGTTCCTCTCTGTGTCTCACGTAGTTACAGTGTCTCAGCGCCCTCTCCTGGTTGGTCAGAGTCATTGCAACCTGCTCACACTGCTGACCAATCAGCTGTAATCCAAACCAACCAACCAGACTACAGCCGATTTAAACAGACTGACTTCAGACTGTCACGTGCTGCTACTCCTGAGACTGGAGGTGGAAATGTTTGAAATAAAGTCAGATCTAGAGTTTAGAAGAACTGTATGTGTTTTGATCAATGAGCACTGTGTTAAGAGGAATAGTACTGTTATTGTGTTTTGGGGTATTGGTACAACGTTTGCTGTTTGGATGTAACTGAACTGTTTTTGGAAGTACTACTGTGTCCTGAAAAACACTTTAGCACATGAAAAAACATAATAACATAAAGTTTAACTATATGTAATATGTAATATATACACATAATCTTTCTCTGTCAGGGATATTTCTGAGCAAACTGTTCAAGTCGTAACATTTACATTTGCTCATTTGACAGACGCTTCTCTCATCATTATGTTGCATTTTTTATTGTTTGTACTGTGATTTATAATGATGTGGGGCTTTTACATTTAAATTTACTCATTTGGAGGACACATTCAATGTTTATTATTTTGCATTTGTTTGTTTTTCTTAACCAGCCTGTGAAGCCAAAGACAAATTGAAATCTCTTTGAAATGGACGCATGGCCAAGACACGTTGGCAGCACTTTTGAATGCTAAAGGTAGGTGTAGGATATTTAACAGTAAAGTCAGAGTGAGGAGGTGGTTGGGGTGGACGTTGGATGGTGGGCCAGAACCGGACTTTCACTTGGGAGACTAGTGTTCATTTCCAGTGTTTTTTGGTTATTTTAACCAAAATCACGATCTTTTCCTAAACCAAACTGCAGCATTTCACATTGTTATGTACTTTTATTTTGAAAGTCTAACTGGACACTGATTGCATATTTATTGTTGCTAACTTAACTCACAAAATAAAGCTAAAGGGAAGCTATGGGCTTTAAAAAGCGCCACCAAC